TATATATATATATATATATATATATATATATATATATATATATATATATATATATATATGCTCAATTTTGTCCCCACCACTTTATGAAATAGCTCACAGCAGGGATGTGTCTAATACAGAGGAGGCATCTCCAATTTTCGAGCGGCAGTTTCTTTCATGCATGTTGTAATGAGGGGAGTTCTAGCACTGGAATTTGTTACTTTTATTGTTTTGCTAGTTTTCATTTTTTTTCAGCTTACTACTGCATCCATTACCCATAAACCAAAATGCATTACAATGTGTCTCCACTCATAATGTGCAAAATATGTCCGATCTCTTGAAATGTTTCTTCAGTACTATTTTAGAAAGAGTGATTGCTCCTTCATATCACTTTATCCTGGTAAATATCAAGTCATTGTGCTTTTACTTGTTCAATTGTGTGTTTTTGTTGTTGGTTTTTGGACAATTCCAGTCTTAATGACATTGTTTACATTTCACTTGACTTGTAAATGAGCAAATCCTCTATTACAGACTTGATTTCGTGATCACATTGACTTTTTCATCAAAACAGAACAAGACTTTTTTGTATGTATTTATTTCAAAATCTGTTATTTGTTGTTCCTGCATATTTTATGGGCCAGTTGGAGTACTTTTTTAGTTCTTTTTATTTGTTTGTTCATTTTGATTCACTGTTTGTTCAGTGATTGTGTCTAGAGTAGAGTGCAAAGGCCTTGTAACTGTTTGATGTGAATCTTTTCATTGAAGTCAGCGGGGTTTCTGCGGCACACCCACCTCAACCTCATGAACACCATCCACACAAACTCTGCTTGAGTTCATCCAGTGGTTTGTAAAAAATCCCTCCAGCCCATTAATCATGCTCTGTGGGCGCAGCGTAATGTATTCCGGATCTATCTTGCCCCCATCTCCAGCAATTAAGGGCCCAGCATGATAGGCATGTGGTGTGAAAATGATTTCCACCACCCCACCTGAAGAGTCACATTGCCGCGCAAAAGGCTGACCAGCTCTGGCCTCCATTAGCACACAACCCATGAGTGCAAGTCCCAAGGAGAGCTCACCCCACTGCTCCACCCCTCATTACTAGCCAATCCACTGCCATTCATTCACACAAGACAGTCTCCGCTTCATCAGTGTAGGCTGCACACTCCTCATCAAACTCCCAGGTAGAGCCGCTAATGCAGACGAGCAATGGGAGCCCAGAAACAGCGCTTAAATTAGAGCTGAAAAGACCTTAGTCAAAGGTTCCTGGATGTCTGGGAGGCTGATGAGGCTCTTGCGATAATATTTTTCAAAGGAGTTTCAGATCTGGGCTGGTGGTTGAATGTGGCTTGATTTGTGTCATGCTCAATAGTCGGTTCTTTTGGTTGTGTGGTCAACTTATTCAGAGATATAAAGGTTGATTCTCTCTTGCACTGTTTGAGAGTATTTCAATAGCCTGTGAATATATTTGGAAACAAATTAGTTTTTTTACTTTTACTGTTAAAAAGACAGTTCCAAAAGTTCCAAAGTTGTTGGAATACAGTATGTTCATGTGTGTTTTTAACATTGCTGTAATTGAGATCTTCCTGATTGTTTTGTAAATTGTAAATCTATAAAAATGTATGGCATGTGCACAGTCAAAATAACACACTCAAAATAGAAAATATTATTAATCTTTTTTTTTTTTAAATGTAAAAAAAAAAAATATGTAAACATTTATATTAAAAAGAATAAGAAGAATGATATACTGCAAAATATGTCTAAAAGATTAACTTTGTCAGCAGCCATTGATTCAGTGTTACACGATCCTTCAGAAATCATTCTAATATGTTGATTTGCAGCTCAAGAAACCTTTGAATTATTATTTTTATTATTATTATCGTCATAATCTTCTGTTGAAAACAGTTCTGCTTAATTTTTTGTGTAAATCATCTTATGGTTTTAAAAGATTTATTTGATGAATAGAAAGCAAAAGAAGCATTTATTTAAAATCTAAATATTTTTTATCAATGTAAATGTATTTACTGTCAATTATGCGGAGTTAAATTATTGATTTATTTAAAAGATGAAAAATAAAGACAGCTTAAAACATAATTCTGACCACAAACTTTTGAACAGTAGTGTATGTATAAGTTTGCTTGCGTAAAATTGCACGAGATAATTTTATTGTTTTTAACATTAATGTTCAGTCAGTTGGGCTATGAAAATAAGATTATTATCATCTTTTTTACATTTATGTCCTCATCAAAACAAAAGCATTTGAAGGTTGTACCATACAGGATAGTACTTAATTAAGGTAATTAAGTATATCGTTTTTTGTGGTAATGAAGTATGTGGTTGAGAAATAGGGAAAGGGAGGAGTACTTTTATGCATTTTGATAAGACTCTAAAATTAATTCAGAATGTCTCGATGGGACTAGAGCTAGATGTGTAAAATGTTTTGCCAAATTATATTACATCTCATGTGGATTACTGCCTCTATTCTATGTTCAAACCTTAGAAGCGCTTCAAAACAGTGTTTTGAAATTAATTGTATTCAGGAAATAATTTGGTATCTTAGGACCTGAACCTGTCCCATTAAGGGAGAAAAATTATGTCAAAGTCACCTTGTAATACTGTAAACAAACTAACACATTCTAGAACACTTGGGACATTATTTGGTTATTTACTAGTGAAGTTTCCAGACACTTAGACCTAGATACTATTTTCAATCCAATACCAAACAATATTCTGATCTGGATAAAGACAAGGAGTGATGAAAATAACCTGGATTTTTTAAATAAATAAATAAATCAGGAAACCAAATATAAAATGCAATCTTAATGCTTTTAAGAGAATGAGAAAGCTTACAGTAGTCACTAAACAAGTTTTAAAACCAAACCAAAACGAATATTTATCTTGTGTTGCAGGACATTTATTCACTTATTTGCCTCTTGCTTCACTAAGCCTACAAATAAAATAATGTTATTCTCAACAGATACTGCTGTGCTCCAGGGCAGCAGCATTGGACTGAATTTCTCTTCTGCAACTTCAAATGCCTTTCTTCTTTACTGTCTTATGATTCATCTCATTTGGGCTTTTCTGGTGTCACTGCCTTATGGCTTTCTTCTATATCATCTGAAACATTCCCTATTTTCTTTTTCATGCGTTCACTCTCCTTTTTTTAACAACCTTTAGTAAGTCAAATCAATGCCATGGCTTTGCAGTTTAACACCCTCTTGAAATCAATTTAACAGCCACCGTGCATAGCTTGGGGTTCAAAACATTGTATCATTCCCACAGTGAGCTGTGCACCCGGCATGTTCATCATCTCGCTGCTTTTGGAAAATGCTGTCTTTATTTTGTCAGCTTCAGCTCTTTTCAGACAATTTTGTCTTTCATCAGGCTGACAAAATTCTTCCGGCAGATTTGGATGTTGAATTTAAAGGGATAGTACACCCAAATATGAAATTATATCATTATTTTCTCACTCTGGTGTTACTCCAAACCTGTTATAATCAATAAGATGTTAAGTTCCACAAATGACAAAAAGCAAAACTTAAGCAAGCCAATCAGTCTGCTTTGAGAACTGGATGAGTTGCAACAATTTTCAGCTCAGTGAATAACTTGCATTTCAGTCTTTTCCGCACACTGTGGGGTGTTTTTTTTGTTGTGTGTTTTGTTTTGGTCTGTTGTGATTGGGGGGTGATGGTTTTGTTTTGATTGTTTGTTTTTGGTTTGTTTTGTTTTTATTTTTTGTTTGTTTTGTTGCGTTGCAGTCCACAACTGAAGAAACAATGAGTTGAGAACAAAACAAACAAAACTTTTTTATGTGATCTGTTTCTTTAAATGTGCACCAAGTATTTTCCCCCTTTTTGCTAGCCAAGGTGGTCCTGAACATTATTATGTAGGCCTACCTATGCAGCATCATATGTTTTGATTACTGATGCAGTTGTAGACTCAGTTTACTAAAAGTTATTTTTTTACCTTTATTCTATTATAGAGTGGTTAACGAGGTAAAATGAGTAGCATTCAACCACCATGAGGCAATCTCACCCTTAGATAAAATATAACTGCTTTCTCTAGTCTAGGCCACTGATATGACTCATGTGAATGTACATAATTTTAATCGTATTTGTCCAAAATATTCTTTGTGCATTTTGTTTGGGAGTCACATGTCCGATGGGCCTCAAGGGAGGTTTCTTGTCTTTAAATAGCCAACCATGAAGAGCAGCATTCGAAAAACAGCAGTCCATCAACTGACAGGCCAGGCTGGTGTATCCTCTGCACAATCTGGTGCTGATTGAAAGAGAGCTAGATAATCATCCCCCATATTATCCGTCATTAAGTCCGTTCAGCTCTCACTCCCGCATTGTAACAGCAGAAGTAAGGCCATCATCTCTTTGACACTCCAGTGATTAAATATGACAATTTTAGGAAGTAGAAAAGGAACATCCACTATTGTCAAGTCTCTAAATGAGCTTTCCACTCAAAATAGAGCACTTGGCAATAAACTGTATGTTGGAGCTTTCACTAGCGTCCATTCACAGGCAAACCATTCTGCTGGCGGCGTGAAGCATTGTGCTCTGGCGAGCATGCGGAATTACATTGCTGTTTGTTTGCTGCACTCATTCAAATTCACAGAGATACGGACGCACACGTGCTTTTTTTTGCACATCCATTGTGCAAAGCATGTTGGAACACCGGTGATTCAAGACCTGAAACTGAGGGGGGGGGGGTGTTCTTTCCTTTGTAATGTTTTGATTCTAATAACTGCCAAAAACACTTCAAGTGCACTGAACTACATACATTTTTGG